TACAGGTACAACTGTCCAGCAATTAATATGCTCAGGAGGGTAGAATATTTACAGGTACAACTGTCCAGTAATCAATACAGACAGCTCAGGAGGGGTAGAATATTTACAGGTACAACTGTCCAGCAATCAATACAGACAGCTCAGGAGGGGTAGAATATTTACAAGTCCGACTGTCCAGCAATCAATACAGATAGCTCAGGAGGGGTAGAATATTTACAGGTACAACTGTCCCTACTGTCCAGTAATCAATACAGACAGCTCAGGAGGGGTAGAATATTTACAGGTACAACTGTCCAGTAATCAATACAGACAGCTCAGGAGGGGTAGAATATTTACAGGTACAACTGTCCAGTAATCAATATACAGGAGGGGTAGAATATTTACAGGAGGGGTAGAATATATTACAGGTACAACTGTCCAGTAATCAATACAGACAGCTCAGGAGGGGTAGAATATTTACAGGAATATTTACAACTGTCCAGCAATCAATATGGAGAGCTCAGGAGGGGTAGAATATTTACAGGTACAGACAGCTCAGGAGGGGTAGAATATTTACAGGTACAACTGTCCAGTAATCAATACAGCAATCAATATGGAGAGCTCAGGAGGGGTAGAATATTTACAGGTACAACTGTCCAGTAATCAATACAGACAGCTCAGGAGGGGTAGAATATTTACAGGTACAACTGTCCAGCCCCCAATACAGAGCTCAGGAGGGGTAGAATATTTACAGGTACAACTGTCCAGTAATCAATACAGATAGCTCAGGAGGGGTAGAATATTTACAGGTACAACTGTCCAGTAATCAATACAGATAGCTCAGGAGGGGTAGAATATTTACAGGTACAACTGTCCAGTAATCAATACAGACAGCTCAGGAGGGGTAGAATATTTACAGGTACAATCTACCCCAGCAATCAATACAGACAGAGAGCAATCAATATGGAGAGCTCAGGAGGGGTAGAATATTTACAGGTACAGCTGTCCAGTAATCAATACAGACAGCTCAGGAGGGGTAGAATATTTACAGGTACAATCTACCCCAGCAATCAATATGGAGAGCTCAGGAGGGGTAGAATATTTACAGGTACAACTGTCCAGTAATCAATACAGAGAGCTCAGGAGGGGTAGAATATTTACAGGTACAACTGTCCAGTAATCAATACAGAGCAATCAATATGGAGAGCTCAGGAGGGGTAGAATATTTACAGGTACAACTGTCCAGTAATCAATACAGACAGCTCAGGAGGGGTAGAATATTTACAGGTACAACTGTCCAGTAATCATTACAGACAGCTCAGGAGGGGTAGAATATTTACAAGGTACAACTGTCCAGCAATCAATACAGACAGCTCAGGAGGGGTAGAATATTTACAGGTACAACTGTCCTTTAATAATTTGAGACAGGTCATGAGGGGTAGTATATTTAGAGCTCAGGAGGGGTAGAATATTTACAGGTAGCATGGACAATACAGTCCAGTAATCAATACAGACAGCTCAGGAGGGGTAGAATATTTACAGGTACAACTGTCCAGTAATCAATACAGATAGCTCAGGAGGGGTAGAATATTTACAGGTACAACTGTCCAGTAATCAATACAGACAGCTCAGGAGGGGTATATTTACAGGTACAACTGTCCAGGGGTAATCAATACAGAGAGCTCAGGAGGGGTAGAATATTTACAGGTACAACTGTCCAGCAATCAATACAGAGAGCTCAGGAGGGGTAGAATATTTACAGGTACAACAACTGTCCAGTAATCAATACAGATAGCTCAGGAGGGGTAGAATATTTACAGGTACAACTGTCCAGTAATCAATACAGATAGCTCAGGAGGGGTAGAATATTTACAGGTACAACTGTCCAGTAATCAATACAGACAGCTCAGGAGGGGTAGAATATTTACAGTTACAACTGTCCAGTAATCAATACAGATAGCTCAGGAGGGGTAGAATATTTACAGGTACAACTGTCCAGTAATCAATACAACATGCAATCAATACAGAGCTCAGGAGGGGTAGAATTACTGCATGCTATCCAGGGCAACTGTGGGAAAGTGTCTGCAAAAGCACAATTATTCTCTCCCTATACTCTACAGACCAACATAGCTCACGAGGGTCAAATGAATTACTTCCTCATCATCATTTGAGTATCTTTATTTAATGACTATATAATGATTTAATGTTATGATTTTGTTCTTAAAATACATTTCAAATGCTCTATTTAGAGTTATCAATTTTTGATTAGGTGATAAAAGTGTAGACATGCTTCATAATACTTGAGCATCACATTACAGACAATTAGGATACAATATCAAATGCTCATTTCCGTTTGATAAATAAGCAGAAAGGTCAGGGCACTTCCATTCTTTAATTAAACTTCATGGAGTTATTTTGTTATCTCTGTGTGGTATATAACGTCTAAAACACAACGATGCCTTCAAAGATTTACTGAAGCAGACGTTCGTAACGATGCATGAAAATTTGAAATTTTTAATACGATTATCACTCTGACAGGAACCTAACTCTACACTGTATTACAGCTAGACAAAGCTGCTGATAAAAACATAATAATATTGAGATACATGCAGGATCACAATCTGTTTGGTAGTTAAACACCTGCTATTACATATTATATTTCATGTATTAATCTTGTCCTACCTGACATATACAAAATATCAATTAAATCATTTAGTTTCATTGGATTTTTACATTGACATAGTTCGAAATCGTCAGTTATCTTTATATATATCAAAATTTATCATTAATATTTCAGAAATGCTTTTAAAAGATATATTAACTTTTTCCTCATAATTTTAAAAAGACCATCTTTAAAAATAGTCGTAATTACCGGACAATGTTATGCCTGAGATGTAAAATGAAGTTCAGCCATCCAAAGAAATATGAACATGTGCTGTTTAATATCTGAATGTCAGTCCAGAAGACGTTGATATGGATATAACCATTGAAAGGAAACAACTGGATGCTCTGTTAAACTTGATTCTCTAAGTTCTAAAGTTACCTCATTTTGATAGAATATCCCGCTCATTCCTCTCCTTATGGAGAAGTGATATAAATATTTAATGAGTGGCTGTGATACAGGTGTTGGAACACACCTGTACAGGTATTCCATCCCTATACACACCTGTCACAAGCAGCACCTGTCCATGGACCCCTCTAAGTCACCTCATATTTCAGCCTGCACGCGCCAAATTTATGTTAATTATTCATTCAGAGATTTTTTTACTCTGAAGTACAGTTACTTTGGATGTCTGAAACATCTGTCTTCAGTAAATAGACATCAGTTGTCTCTTTATAACTAACTACTACAGCTTTTTCTATCCTTAGGTCTGATATTTCAACAAAAGATTACTTTTTTATCAATAAAATTAGAGATTTATTTTCCAAGTGCAGGTAATTGGTATTTTGAGACCATATGTTACTTAAATCTGAGAATATCCTGGGTTTTTTTAAAACATTATCAAGGCTTACCTAACATTAGACAACAGCTTGTAAAGCACTTAAAAGTTTTGACCTTAAAGTGACATTTACAACCTAGTATAACAACAGATGGCACTGGGTTACAGCCTGAATGTCCTCCACATTCTTAATTTATAAATCAAATCTAAAATAGGTTTTATTTTACATATGTTGATTTAATTAACTCAACACTGAAAATTAAGTTCTCAGAGTTTTACCTTTCCATGAGCCTTTTTCAAAAGTAGCCTGACAGTATGAATTCTATCTGTATATAAATATCATCATGACAAGTAAGTGACTATCATTATGATGGGAGTCTACTAGACAGGTGATAGTATAGACTGTATCAGATCTACTGTCCAAACCTATATCTAACTTACACAAATCAAGCCAAGTGATAATTCCCCCAATTCTGGGGTCAGAGTCGTGTGCCAAGTACACGTGCCTCATACAGCAGCTTTCTGTTTTGGTGAGTTCTTGGTTCTGATTGGTGGATAGGGTGTTGGGGGCATGTGGCAGCAGTAACTGGGACCATGTGTGATCACACAATGGCTGTTTACAGCCCGACACAAGGACACAGGAGGGAGGGCACTAGGATTACCCGGCACGCGACAACTCTTTGTTACCTGGTGGACTGGCTTTGTTGACAATCAGCGGGCTGTGACGATAGTCGCGTGGCCAGGTGACGAGGAGGCTGGTCTTATCTCCCCCTGTGTACACATCAACTCATTGTTAGCTCTGTCAAAATAGCGGCACACTCCACCACATCAAATGGCTGTATTTTGATTGGCTAAGCCCTGAACAGCTTCTGTAGGGTTAACAGGCCATATCATATACAGCAGAGACCTAATCTTTTCACGGATTCTCCATAAACATCAAAGGCCTTTTATCCCCATTTTCACCTGACAGGTGTTAAGATTTTGGCGGACTATAGACTTTACTTGTAACAGTAAAAGTAAACAACACTTCTTTCTGTTAGATACCTTAAAGTTATTTGCATTCCAGATAAAATCAAAAATAATAACACAATGGATTTCAAAAGACAATAGTCAAAAAAACAAATAAATTATTGTCATGTCTGATAAGGCTGGATGTAAATATCAAGTTCTGATTTTGGGGACAGATAGGGTAGTTAACATCTGTGTCCCCTCAAGTGTGCTGTAGGGGGCGGAGTCAGGTGACAGCTCCTCCCCTTTACGATGCTGGCCCATTGTGAGGGGTCTCGGGGCATCATGTCCCCAATACAATAGAACGAAGATAAGGGTCCCAAACAATCAGGGGAAAAATTTAATTAGGCCCTCATTGAAATAGCTGTGGTATCCCTGTCTGTCAGAGTGGGAGCAAGGCCCAACTATATAAGCTCCACACATTCTGGAGAGCAGCCAGTTACTCCAATGAGATAGTGAACACAGCAGACCTCCTAAGATCTTCACATATAGCTGTCCCCTGATTAGCAGTGATAGGTGTTCTGTGGGTGTGTCACAGGTACAGTGTTAGTGATACCAAACATTTCTATACAGGTTCACACCACACCATGTGTATGGATTAGAACTGAGGATCAGAGCACAACTCACCAGACCAACAACACTTCTCAAAACAAACATGGAATATTTACAGAGAATCCAGATTGTGGTCATCCTAACCTACACCATGATTGTACAGAGTTTGGCAGGTAAGTCACCATTTATACTTACAGGGGGAAAAAGTTGGAATTTTTATGATGTTACTTGTTCTCACTTACCTGAGGTAAATTTTACAGGTAAATAGAAATGTAATGATAGTGACATTTAAAATAGTTTCACTCAATATTTTCAATCACTTGTCCTTTTTTTTCATATAATATTCATCAATGAAATGTTAAATCTATGTGTATACTCTGAATGTGTTCCCCAGGTGGGTAACAGGTTCCCATAAGATTCCAGTTCACACACTGGTAAGGTTTCAACATAGGTCATATCTGGTGATATGCAATGAAATCTTGATGTTATCAATAGATCCGAATAGATAAGAACAATTGTCTTTAGACTTGGACTACAATAGATTTATGTAAATCACAATAAACAATAGATACAATACACAATAAAAGATCTCCCTGGCTGATAACACAAGTAAATCACCTTGTTCCCACCATGTTGAAACATAATTATGAATTACACCTATCATATTCTACTTTTTGATTTTTTTCATGTGAACATTAATATTTCTATAGCATTATAAACATATCTATTTTGTCACCAGACAATTATAACATTTGGAAAAATATGGGCCAGTTACAAAGTGTTGAACAAAATCACTTCATAATACAGATTTTTGATAACACAATCACATAGCAAGTACTAAGTATACTGCAAACACCGCTTATTACAAGTAAAATTTATTAATACATTTAACCGTGTACTATACAGTAGTATACACCATAAAATAAATATCAGTTAAGCTAAAGTTAAAATTTAAACAATTTAAACCATTTATTTTGATCTTCTTTTGAAGTAGCATGTCTGCTCTCATCGTTCCTATGTAGAGTAAAGTTTGCAGGGCTATCTGTCCAGGTACAATGCAGTATTTTATCTATGTAAGAAAACTTTGTCACATTTTGTTTTAAATAAAGATTCATTGTAACTCTGAAGATTTAATACAAATGGCAGTAAGAAGTTCAATAGCTTTGGAAAAAAACAGCAATTCATTTCAAACATGTGCCAATAAGGATGGCATTGAAATTTGAATATAACGACTAAATCCAAGCTTACCGATTGGCCTAACTTTTAAATTTTCTTCCTAGCTAACCGATGAATTTGAATTTGAAAATGTTTGTTGGAAAAGTTCCTAAGAACCTGATATTGTGTATAAAGGGCGAGACTGATTAACATATAAAGAGCTTTTACGTGGCATCAGGTCTATTCTGATTGTGTATAATGGTAGGGTATGAGGTTTTAGCCTGGTAAATCTTAGTTAATGACATTGTATTTTCGTATTGATACATCGTGCATCAGTCCCCATATAATCTAATATGGATTCATACATCTTGCTCAACAATGAAAATTTTGGTCAAGAACTGTTAAACTTTTCCAAGAGTTACAACAATTTTCAATGTTTAATTTCTTTTCTCTATACCTTTCCTACATTAAATCTTTATTTTCCATAATTTAACACACACACATCTCTCTCCCCCTAAAAAAGGTATTCTAATACTTATATTGTGTTTGTCCTAACAGGTACGCCTATGTCTGCCAGCGCATGTTTTGCCCAAAAGGAACTGACGTTTAAATGTGCCTACGGGTCAATGTTACGAATCACTCGTACATTGTACGGATACAACTCGAACGGAATGTGCAGTCTCCAGCCCGGAGATTGTGTTGAGGAAGAACGAAAACTGTACCCCTGTGTGGGGCGTGAGTCTTGTTCTATCAACCTTCCGAGTGGAGGTGTTGGTAGAGTTATCTCATCCTGCAACAAGCCTAGTAACTACTTCCAGGTGGAATATGAATGCATCCCAGGTAAGTTATAAAACCAATTAAACACCTGAAATATATATTACTAACTCTATCTATGTCATAAGTTTTTATACCAGTACAGGATTTGTTACGATCTCTGATGCTACACTCAAACTTACAGCAATAAAATCTAGTATTTGACCCCAGGTAAACACAAAAACATATATATCAAATTCATATTGTACTTGTTACTTGAAACAATTATTGTAACTGCAAAATTTTGATGTGGACATTTTGATATCGTGAATCCAGAAGTCCTATACCATGTTGTGATAGACCTGTAGTTTTTTTAACCCTTATATTCCTCCAACACTAAAAAATCTGTTGACATATGGCTGTAATAAGAAATAGTGATAAAATTTATCTACATCTGGTCATAATAAAAAAAGTGCAAAAGTCACTGACATAAGCAATATAGATAGAATTTTATGTTCTTATACAAATAATACCACAAATTCCATTAAGAATAAATCCATCTGGTAGAGGACCAATGGATTGCTAAAGTTAATCTCTGCTTGAGGTTTACAAGTTTTGACATGGCAGGTTCAGCGTGGCACGTGCCACTATGAGGAGAGACCACAGTGAAGTTTTCCTCGATATGACCAGACAGTCACCTCTCCCCTTCCCTACAAATATAACTCCTTCACTAAGATACCCTCAAAACATAAAATGTTTGACCACTCTACAGGAAATCAAGTAGAAAAACAAAAACAGACTTGGCTGATTAGTGAAGGACACCAGAAACAAATACAGCTGGACAGGGCATAACCTGCGGTAACTTCTGTCTAAACAAGTCTGCAAACTTCAAAACTAAACTCCAAGAGGTCCATCAACTGTCGACACCAGCATCTGTATCCAATCAGGACACAGAAAACACCCTCCCTCTACACGCGCCCAACACGAACTGGTCGTCCTCCTTAATGTATTAAATAAAGAGCTTTAATAAGGACCCCAGTCCTCTCTAATGAACATTGTGTATCAACGGTGCAGAGTGAGAAGTTGGCTTTCTTTCCCTAATTGATAAATAGATGATATTCTAGTGTCATGTGATATGGTACAAGACTTGTATATTTGTAAGTGGATCACCTTACAAGTGGCAAAGGAACATGTTTATGTTGTAAAGAAATAACAAAGTTGAGGATCAAAGCTGTACTTCACTGTCTGTTGACGTTAGAGAGCACAGTCCTCAAGTAAACAAACGACTACCAGTAAATTAACCAGAGTCAAAGCGGTGCAAAATTTATCTAATCATCCATCCAATAAATTAATGAATAATTCATTAAATCCTCTCCGTAGATATGTCTCTTCTCTAGGAAACCTGTAACACTGTCTAACTGTTGTCAAAAGTTAAATAATAAAATACTATAAAACTACTGACAGAATACACAATATAATTAATATACTGCTATAACGTTTTATAGATACGTTTCTGTTGTTTCCTAATTGTACTCGCTGTCATTCAGACAATACCAGTCTATACTTGTTCTGACCTACTAGTGTCCGTTATCAAAGATTACGTCACGATCATCAAGTCAAGTGAATGACATGTGAATAAATAACCTGATCAATACATTTTTTTCCTTTAATTCTGTCAGAATTTTTTCCTTTTAAAATATATCCAATTACTGTGTCCTGTTACGCTCATACATAATTGTCCTGAACTGAAAACCACAAACTAGCACACAGCACACACCCGAAAAAAGCTCAAATTACAACCATGGAATATATTCCAAATCTTAGTGCCATCAATCTTGTCAATAAACCTGTTTAAAGTTACAACTAACTGATCAAACTGGTGCTCATAGTCTCACACTTTTTCTCTATGTAATGAATAATTTAATACATTTTACACTTTGAAGATAATTTCAGTAACACAGATTTTACAACTATCATCTGTAACGGTTTGACAGCTTCACGCTTTCTCTCCAGTTATCAGATGAAGCTTTACTTTAAATTCTATCAGATCTCCAGACGTGTTCAGTTGATGACAAACGCGTGCCGCCAGCCCGCCTTTAATTTTGATAATTTAATTCTGAATCCTTGAGCGAATATCTGTGTAGGTGAATGGTCGGCTGACGGCCTCAGGTTATTTGTGTCGCGCGGGGAACAAAGACAGGAGGCCCATCTGCCTAGCTTGTTTTTCGGGGCTCAGCCTATCAACAGCTTGCATTGTGATGCTTGCATCTGTCTCTCATTTTCATCTGTTCGTTCAAAATGCATAGAGAAGTAGTATGTTGAATGCAAAAGTATTTTTAAACTCCAACTTATCTGTTCAAGCTTTGGCGGGGAAACACCAGACGTTGATTTCTCAAATATTTACACACTGTTGATAAAGAGACTATAGTAAATTATGTTGGCTATCTGTTACATCTGTCCACATTACATTATTCACATACATGCCTCTTGTTCAAGATAATGGTAATTTAGCAAACAAATGTGAATTTCAATAAAACAATTCAAACAGATTAGGTTTAGCTTTTTGAAGAGTTTTACTGTTTTATAGGAAAACATGCTAATCTGTGTGAAATATAAAATGTTTTGTTGTAAACACGATAAATGAAGACAAGTGTTGCTCTACATTATAGACATTCCTGTTACTTGAATCAATACAGGTGAATAAAGAACAGTGCAAAACATATCAATATGATATGTATGGTTCAAGTTATCATACCATATAGCCAAATCTAAAATTTAAAAAATAATAATTTTTTCACTTTTGTGTGAATTTTGTCATATTAACCCCTCAAATGTTAGAAATTTCTCATTTATCTCATCATAAAAGGTTGTTGCATGGCTTGATGTTTAAAAGTACAAAAATTGTGTATCTATTATCAATATTCTGCGAGGGAAAAATCAGTGAAACACATATGTACTGCAGAGTACACTTTGTGTAACACATATGTACAGCACAGTATACTTAGTTTAGCACATATGTAATACAGAAAACACTTAGTGTAACACATATGTACTACACAGTATACTTAGTGTAACACATATGTACTACACAGTATACTTAGTGTAACACATATGTACTACACAGTATACTTAGTGTAACACATATGTACTGCACAGTATACATATACTATCTGTCACATTACAGGTTCTTATTAATGATATTACAGAAATATTACTTCAGAAATATTAATTTCTTTTTTCTGTCTTTTCAGTATCAGAAACAAAAAACATTTGTGATTCTCCAATGATCACAGCCCAGCAGGGATACATAGTAACTCCAGGTTATCCCAACAACTATGGCCCAAACATCAACTGTACCACCCGAATTCAAGTAGAAAGTTACCAACACCTCAAACTCTACATTCTCGACCTTGACCTTGAGATGGCCAGCAGCACATGTTCTGACTACATGCTTGCTCAGGACACCATACAGTCTCTTACTCTTTGTGGAAAACGAGGAAATGAGCCAAGTCCGGTCTCCTGGAAAAATCTGACGCTCAGATTATCAACAAACAGTAGAAATAACTACAAAGGCTTCTGGCTATACTATGAAGGTAAGAATATTGGCAAAAATCTTTCTATCACATTTTGTTTATTCACTTTTTGAATAAAAGTAAAAACCTGCAATTTCTCATTTTCCCTGATACTTATCTCCTCTTGTTTTTGCTATAGCAACACCAGAACTGACAACCACCACTCAACGACCGACCTTGCCTGTGGTAACCAGTCAGAAGACGGCACAACCAGTGGCACCCAGTACAACCTCACCCAAACACGTCATTCCCATCACCAAGACAGTTAACAATGTTAACGTGGACAAAACAGAAAAATTACCATTTGGTAAGCATTTTACTATTAAATTCTTCATTGTTCTACATCAGATTATTGACACAATATATAAACTTAGACAGATTTTACGTTAATTTACAACCGTTATTCTCTGTATACAGACTGAGAATCTGACCCTATACTGTTTTCGTTTACAGCTGCCATTGTGGGCGGAGTCATCGGCACCCTGAGTTTTGTTCTGGTCATCCTGTTAGTTCTCCTTATTGTTAAATGGTAAGTCATTAATACTACACATACTTAAGTTTTTACCATTTTACAGGTGTATTTTCAATAATTTCTTGAGCTACTTTTGTATTTTCATTAATTACAACTTTTCATTTTGTCTGTATTTTAATTCAATTTCATTAACTACCATTGTTATTCTCAATAATCCATACCTTTTCTATAATGCTTTATATTTTGAAAATTAACTAAAGATAGTTTAAAGAAACACTATTAAAAAACCCAGCAGTATCAGAAACTATATGTTCTTTTACACACTGAAAGAAAACATTGTAAATCTCAATATATATCAATCTTCTGAACTTTGACAGGTCACGAGAGAGAAAGAGGAGGAGAGACAAGAACCAGTTCATTGAGGTACAGAATCCAGGTTACAGAAACAGCAATGAGTTCCAACAGAATGCGATCCCAAGGACAGACATTTGTTACAACTACGTGGACTGTTGAGTGATCACCAGCATTTTATCCCTTGTGATCTCACACATGATGTGATGGAACAGTGAGATGTGATCTCCACCCATTACACACAAACATTAAGTGCAGCTAAGACTTTTACATGTGACCTTGATCATGACCTTGGATCTAATCCAGCCAATCATATCATCAATATTCCATTTCACAATTAGAGAAGGACAAATATTGTGTAATGTACTTGACAATGGAAGAAGAGGCTTCCAAAGCTATTCATCAAAGGACGTTTTATTAAGCATTATTTTATATGTTGACTTCCATGGTTTCTTAACCATTCTGCAGTTTCTAATACACAAACTTTTACAAGTAGGAATCTGAACGTTTCACTTGGATGTGCAGCAGAAATTGCAGATTTTAGGAATTACATAAAAGACAAGGATTTTTTTTCTGTGATAAAAAAGTGCCGTTTCTATCTGTTTTTCTACCTGAGTAAGCACAGTTTTACCGGGGAGTTTTGAGCTGGTGGGAGGAGTCGATTGATGGGACGCCACAGGTAAAATCCATACACCTGAGCTTACAGCGTCAGCAGGTGACAGCATAGTACTTGATATGGCATTCCCGTCCCTTCTCCAGTGGAACGGTTACAAGGTTGTGCAATGTTGAATGAGGAAACCACACGTTGATAATGATGTGCAATAACATTTTAAATAGCGGTTTGTCTAATTTATTCATTGTATATAGATTCATGTTCAATGTTCTAGAATTTGTACAGCTAATGTACAGTGCTAGGTATATCTAACCAAGCATAGCTTATGTAGTAAATCTATTGTCAATCAGCAAATTGCTCTATACCTTTCATCTGTCCTCAATTCACACACATTAGTTTTAATTTTTGAATTTTGTTCTAATCACACTTTTTCTAAGTAAATATACTAGAAATACAAATCACATTGGAAACTATGCAAACCATTCTGTAAGATTTTTAATCATGCATGTTTTCCTCCTGTTCCATAAATCGCACGGTAATTACCTGTAAACGTATATATCCCAAATGGCCAGTCTATTATAGTAGCACTAATCCACTGATGTTATCACCTGAACAAACTTAGGATGATTTTTGTTAAACAAACAGGTACATAATCAAACTTCATACAATACCAGATGTTAACAAATTAGTTATGTCAACACCATCAATCAATAGTAAATATTGGAAAACATCAACATATGAAATTCAAAAATCAAAAAGTGTTATTTTCCCATTTCTATCTCCAGCTTTAAAACATCTTTACAGAGATTAAATTAAACTGGCTAAACTTTTCAGTTCAATCAGCATTTAACATAAGCATTTTTAGATATTAAGAAATGCATTGTTTTTTGAAGTTTAAATGAAAGAGGACAGATTTGTAATGTATTCTGAAAGTTTTAGGAAGCTACCATGACAGTGAGTAACACTGTAACATGTGTATATATATATATATATTTGTACAGTATATATTGGAGGCCTGGAGAACGTCCTCTGTGTGCCTCTGTAATGACAGCATTTTAACACCTAACTTAATTATCTGGTATTAGTCCAAATTTTCTTTCAAAAAGAAAAAAAAGGCAATAATGAAATAAATTGTGCTTTGTCCTAATTCGGCTGTTTTCAAAATGATAATTACTTGGTTTTTATTCATAATGAATTTAACGCTGTTGTCTAAAACATAAGCACATGTGAGAGCGTTTTCGGGACGATTGTCTGTGATATGCTAGTGTTTTATTTCGTTTGGTTTTATCTAGTCATAATCTGTTGAGTTAAGGTATGCCAGTGCTGACTACAATATAGATACCATTTATTAGACTTTATTTGCTGCACATGGCATTTAATTTATTGAGAATCACATTCATGCATATGTTGTACATTAGTACATCATTGCCATTCCACATATCATTCCCTCACTCTAATGGAAAATCTCCATATTGTATAACAAACAAGTTAGCTCTGTTTCTACATCTCTTTGTTTTGACATATCATTAAAACAGGAGAAAGATTGAATTATATTCCTAATCAAATAAAGCCAAATTTTTCCTAAAACAAGTCGCAAAATTTCTTTCCAGAAATTTATCATAATTAATACATATGGGTACTAAATGGAGAAAAATAAGATAATCAAAAACACACACATACAAGGGCATCATCTGTTAGCTTAAAGCTAGTAGTTGTTATTGACGGAGAGAGACAGAGAGAGAGAGGGAGACAGATCTATAGATATTGATCAGAAAGGAAGACAAGAAAAGAGAACGAATGAGAGGAAGATGTTGTGAAGAGTTAATAAATTATAAACAATATATTATTTTGTGTTGAAATTAAATTGGAGTATTTATTACTATGAGACTTTTGGTGTACATGATAATTTAAATAACTTAACTTGTTGCTGTATGAACGTCTTTGCTAGGCTAAAAGATGTGCCACAGTATTTATATGTCCAAAAAATTAATAAAAAATCAAACAAAACTATTTTGTATTGTTTTCTTTACTGGAAATAACAACTGCATCACCTGAGTTTGACACTAAGGAACAGAATAATTACCATTCATGGCGGTCAGAAATGACATTTGAAACCTAGCCCTTCTGCCTGATAGACATGACCATCAGAAAAGACATTTGAAACCCAGCCCTGCTGCCTGGTAGACATGGCGGTCAGAAAAGACATTTGAAACCTAGCCCTGCTGCCTGGTAGACATGGCGGTCAGAAAAGACATTTGAAACCCAGCCCTGCTGTCTGGTAGACATGGCGGTCAGAAAAGACATTTGAAACCTAGCCCTGCTGCCTGGTAGACATGTTGGTCAGAAAAGACATTTGAAACCTAGCCCTGCTGCCTGGTAGACAGGTTGGTCAGAAGACACTTGAAACCTAGCCCTGCTGCCTGGTAGACATGGCAGTCAGAAAAGACATTTGAAACCTAGCCCTGCTGCCTGGTAGACATGACCATCAGAAAAGACATTTGAAACTAGCCCTTTTGCCTGGTAGACATGGCAGTCAGAAGAAACTTGAAACCTAGCCCTGCTGCCTGGTAGACATGGCGGTCAGAAAAGACATTTGAAACCTAGCCCTGCTGCCTGGTAGACATGACCATCAGAAAAGACGTTTGAAACCTAGCCCTGCTGCCTGGTAGACATGTTGGTCAGAAAAGACATTTGAAACCTAGCCCTGCTGCCTGGTAGACATGACCATCAGAAAAGACATTTGAAACCTAGCCCTGCTGCCTGGTAGACATGGCGGTCAGAAAAGACATTTGAAACCTAGCCCTGCTGCCTGGTAGACATGGCGGTCAGAAAAGACATTTGAAACCTAGCCCTGCTGCCTGGTAGACATGGCGGTCAGAAAAGACATTTGAAACCTAGCCCTGCTGCCTGGTAGACATGACCATCAGAAAAGACATTTGAAACCTAGCCCTGCTGCCTGGTAGACATGTTGGTCAGAAGACACTTGAAACCTAGCCCTGCTGCCTGGTAGACATGGCAGTCAGAAAAGACATTTGAAACCTAGCCCTGCTGCCTGGTAGACATGACCATCAGAAAAGACATTTGAAACTAGCCCTTTTGCCTGGTAGACATGGCAGTCAGAAGAAACTTGAAACCTAGCCCTGCTGCCTGGTAGACATGGCAGTCAGAAGAAACTTGAAACCCAGCCCTGCTGCCTGGTAGACATGGCAGTCAGAAGAAACTTGAAACCTAGCCCTGCTGCCTGGTAGACATGGCGGTCAGAAAAGACATTTGAAACCTAGCCCTGCTGCCTGGTAGACATGACCATCAGAAAAGACATTTGAAACCTAGCCCTGCTGCCTGGTAGACATGACCATCAGAAAAGACATTTGAAACTAGCCCTGCTGCCTGGTAGACATGGCAGTCAGAAGAAACTTGAAACCTAGCCCTGTTGCCTGGTAGACATGGCGGTCACAAAAGACACTTGAAACCTAGCCCTGCTGCCTGGTAGACATGGCGGTCAGAAAAGACATTTGAAACCTAGCCCTGCTGCCTGATAGACATGTTGGTCAGAAAAGACATTTGAAACCTAGCCCTGCTGCCTGGTAGACAGGTTGGTCAGAAGACACTTGAAACTTAGCCCTGCTGCCTGATAGACATGACGGTCAGAAGACACTTGAAACCTAGCCCTGCTGCCTGATAGAAAGAAGATACAAAATCAAAACTTAAAACTACTACGTATTGATTTTGACTAACTAGTAATACAGAGACTGGGTTACTACACTGATTCTCTAGTAACACAGAGACTGGGTTACTACACTTCTCTAGTAACACAGGGACTGGGTTACTACACTGACTAACTAGTAATACAGAGACTGGGTTACTACACTGACTAACTAGTAATACAGAGACTGGGTTACTACACTGACTAACTAGTAATACAGGGACTGGGTTACTACACTGACTAACTAGTAATACAGGGACTGGGTTACTACACTGACTAACTAGTAATACAGAGACTGGGAAACTACACTGATTAACTAGTAATACAGAGACTGGGTAACTACACTGACTAACTAGTAATACAGGGACTGGGTTACTACACTGACTAACTAGTAATACAGAGACTGGGTTACTACACTGACTAACTAGTAATACAGAGACTGGTTTACTATACTGACTAACTAGTAATAAAGAGACTGGGTTACCACATTGATTTACTAGTAATACAGAGACTGGGTTACTACACTGACTAACTAGTAATACAGAGACTGGGTTACTACACTGACTAACTAGTAATACAGAGACTGGGTTACTACACTGATTCTCTAGTAATACAGAGACTGGGTTACTACACTGACTAACTAGTAATACAGGGACTGGGAAACTACACTGATTAACTAGTAATACAGAGACTGGGTTACTACACTGACAAACTAGTAATACAGAGACTGGGAAACTACACTGATTAACTAGTAATACAGAGACTGTGTTACTACACTGACTAACTAGTAATACAGAGACTGGGAAACTACACTGATTAACTAGTAATACAGAGACTGGTTTACTATACTGACAAACTAGTAATACAGAGACTGGGTTACTACACTGAGTAACTAGTAATACAGAGACTAGGTTACTACACTGACTAACTAGTAATACAGAGACTGGTTTACTATACTGACTAACTAGTAATAAAGAGACTGGGTTACCACATTGATTTACTAGTAATACAGAGACTGGGTTACTACACTGACTAACTAGTAATACAGAGACTTGGTTACTACACTGACTAACTAGTAATACAGAGACTGGTTTACTATACTGACTAACTAGTAATACAGAGACTGGGTTACCACATTGATTAACTAGTAATACAGAGACTGGGTAACTACACTGACTAACTAGTAATACAGAGACTGGGTTACTACACTGACTAACTAGTAATAAACAGACTGGGTTACTACACTGACTAACTAGAGGTTCAGGTTAAGAAAATATCACCTTACACTATACAGTTCACTGTACATGCATTTATACTCAAAGAAATCCAATTGCCAAAATGCTATCCATCATACATTATATGTTAAAACCTCACCAGAAATTGAGAATACTCAGCCCTGAATGTCCTAATAATTTAATCTTTAACAAGAGGCCCAATAAGTCCTGAGTTGACTCCTGTGTTCTTGAACATAAGTCAAGGTCATATCATTTTGCAAACTTTATCAGTCTTCATCTCAGGAACATACCAGCCAAACATCATACCTCAAGGCCTTTTGGTTCATGAGAAATCATTTGAAGGTTTTAAAAAATTTACCCTTGTGACCTTCAACATAAGTCAAGGTTATTTCTTTTTCCAAACTTTGTTGGAATTCATCTTAGGAACAAAATACCAGCCAAATATCATGCCTCCAGGCCTTTTAGTTTATAAATTGAAACATTTCAAAGGTTTTAACAAATTTGACCCCAGTGACCTTGAACAAAAGTCAAGGTTATATTGTCAAGCTTCATACTAAGAACATACCAGCCAAATTGGTCAATTAGTTATTGAGAAAAAGTTGTTTAAAGGAAAAACTTGGCACCAGAAGACAGACAGATGACAGACAGACAACAGACACTGCATAACAGCATAAGTTCACTTGGCTCTTCGGACCAGGTGAGCTAAACATGGGGGGAAAATTTTTGGTGTAAATAAGTTCTTGTATAAACATGTGATTTGTTGAAGATGATTTTGAGAGTTCTGTTTTATAAGTATAGAGGGAGTATGAATCTTGGAAGAACTGTAGATGTCTTGTATCTATCACTGTCAGATAAAAAAACAAGGGTTTCATTATCCTTCTCCAAAACACCTAAAAACAGAAGGTATAAATGTTCTATAAGCTCAAACTGGTAAGTCTGACATGAATTATCTCCAGAAAACTTATCAGCTGTAAGTTATTGAGCAAGTTTTACGTTTGCAGGGGGTTAGTTGCCCAACACCAGATATATGTCAGAGGAAAGGTGAAGGTTTTAAAGATCAGGCAAGAAACATAGCCTAACACTTTAACGTTAAATTAAGATCGCAGTCAAGCCTAATATATTACTCTAGAATGATCTCAGACCCTCTACATGGCCCTGGAGTGAGTCTGGAGCAAGGGTGAGCGACAACCTATTGTAAATACCCTTGTGAGCTCTCAGAATTGTACAAAACCTAGAGCCCAATTAATAACCTTGCAAGTCTCAAGCCTTGTACGTATACTATGTGAGACATGAGCCCCTACATAGCTAGTGAGCCTACATTCTGGTAGTGTATGCCCACTGTGCCATGAACAAGTTCCAGCATAAACCTAGTGATCAAGCTTCTTGTCTTGTATTCATACCCAGTGAGCTGTGAGCCCCTTAAATAACCCAATGAGCTTCAAGCCTTATATACATGTATTATATACCCAGTATGTCTTGAGCCTACTACTTATATACAAGCAGTTAGCCATGGTCTCCTCAATACCCTAGTATGTCTCAAGCCTTGTATGTATGCCCAGTAAGCCTTGCACCTTAATTACGATCCTGTGAACCTCTTGTCTTGTATATATACCAATTAAGACTTGATCCTTGTTTAGAATACTGTGAACCTCTAGCCTTGTATATATACCTGGTAAACTTGCATCTTGTTTAGAATCCTGTGAACCTTTAGTCTTGTATATAAACCCAGTAAGCCTTACACTTTGTTAATGATCCTGTGAACCTCTTGTCTTGTATTTATACCCAGTAAAACTTCAACCTTGTTTCTGATCCTGTGAACCTCTAGCCTTGTATATATACCCAGTAAACTAGCATCTTGTTTAGAATCCTGTGAACCTCTAGCCTTGTATATATACCCAGTAAACTAGCATCTTGTTTAGAATCCTGTGAACCTTTAGCCTTGTATATATACCCAGTAAAACTTTAACCTTGTTTCTGATCCTGTGAACTTCTAGCCTTGTATATATATCAATGTAATAAGCCTTGCACATTGTTGAGCATCCTGTGAACCACTAGCCTTGTATATATACCCAGTAAACCTTGCATCTTGTTTAGAATCCTGTGAACCTTTAGTCTTGTATATATACCCAGTAAGGCTTGTATCTTATTTATGATCCTGTGAACCTCTAGCCTTGTATATATACCTAGTGAGCATTGCACCTTATTTTGGATCCTGTCAACCTTTAACCTTGTATATATACTCAGTAAGTCTTACACTTTGTTTATGATCCTGTCAACCTCTAGCCCTGTACATTATACATGCCCCATAAACAGAGATTGACTGCTTGCAGGATTGAAAATGGCAATAATTCTGTTTGTTGCACATAAATCTTAAAGTTCAACTAACTTATTTCCAGCTCATGGAAGATTTCTAGATACAACCTCAAAAAGAAACCTATTTAAGATAATCTAAGTTAAAAAAATCTCAGATTTTTCAAAGACAATTGCATCTTGTTAATCCTGCTTAAAATGACTTATTTTCAAATGTTTTTATGCAGACACATAGACTTGAAGCTTACAATACAATGATATAATGGGTATAAACAACTAAAGCACAAGATGGATACTGCCATAAAATTTACACCTAATACTGGGACCACAACAATCAACAGACCGGCATTCCAAATCTGCTGAAGATATGGCACTTACAGTCAGGCTTCTGTTGGCCAACGATTTTAGAACAAGATACACAGTAAATTTTCTTGGAGGGGGACAGTGATGTATGTGATAGTTCCTTGGAGAGATGTCCAAGAGTAGATGAGTTGTTGGCTGACTCCAGGCCTGACATAATTCACGATTATATATTAGCTATTATAAAGTCATATCTGATTAATTCTATACACATGTTAACACAACAAATTGGCTAATTTCTATCTTAGGTAGTGCATAACAGAAAAATTGGCAGAATTCAATGTTTGCACAATTTGTTTTCCAAAGTAAATGGACATACATCGCACATTAAGTTTTTTGCGGAGTATGAAATATCAAATTCATGTGATTACTTAATGCATCTTATATGTACATCATTAAAACATGATCAAATCCTTCTTCATACAATGATACTTCAGTTTAATTTAGTCACAGCTACTATCCTTGATTTGATCTTTAGATATGCTGTCAATTCATTTATATAGGATTTCATATAAAGGACCTGACTATTAACTGTCACACTCTAAGCTAGTATGACACAATGAAAATTACCATACTTTCATGTTAGCTGTATAAGCTCTGTGACAATTAAAAAAAACCCTTTTTTTCATGTTACCTGTATCAGGTAGTGTGACAATAAAGAATATTGTATTACTTTCACATTGCCTTATTTGGCAATCAAAGCTTGATAAAATGAGAAGGAACCTATGATTGCTCTGTTTCAGATGACTCAGCATGTGACTTTTCCTGTGGTCACTCTACATTATGTTCTGTAGGATCTCAAATTACCATTCCACACTGAACATGTCCAACACATCATACGAAAGGCTGCAAATAGATCTTTACTCAGAACATTTTGCAAACTTTATGAAAAGGCAGGTACATAAACAAAACAGTGAGACAAAATGGTGTTTTTAATGTAATGTCTTAAATATAAAAATGTGCCACAGAAAAGCCGATTCCTGCAAAGCAAACAGTGAAACTACATCAGTTCAGTTTTCTTCTGGTAGCTGCTAAAGCTCAGAAGAGTTATCTCCCTTATATTAAGTTTAATGACTTACCTTGGATTCATGACGAGCCTCCTGAAGAAGTAGGTCCAGGTGATGTAATCCATAGCGTCCTGTTTAGAGGTAATGGTCCCAGCCACAATCTCAGCATTCAGATGGTCTGGCAGCACATCCAGGAGACTGAATCATGTAAAAGATACAGGTAAACTGGAAAACATCACTCTAACAGAGGTTTAAAGGTTTACTGAGATGACATCTATGTAATAGAGATGCAGGTGTCTACTGAGAAGACAGATTTCAATGTAAGATACAGGAGTCTATTGGGAAGACAGGTATCAATAAAAGATACAGGTGTCTACTTAAATGGTATCTATCTCAAGAAGACAATAGTGTCTATTGGTACCGGTAGCAATAAGAAATCCAGATGTCTATAGGAAAGAGAGGTATACAGGTGTCTATGTAATGGGAAAGTGATATATACAGGTGTCTTCAAGAAAGACATGATCACTCAGTGATGCAGGTGTCTATGTAATGGGAAAGTGATATGTATAGGTGTCTTCAAGAAAGACATGATCACTCAGAGATACAGGTGTCTATGTAATGGGAAAGTGATATATACAGGTGTCTTCAAGAAAGACATGATCACTCAGTGATGCAGGTGTCTATGTTATAGAAAAGTGATATGTATAGGTGTCTTCAAGAAAGACAGGGACTAATGATTTATACAGGTGTCCATGAACTAGTACCTAGAGAACAAAGTATAGTACAGTTGTGAGTAGATATTTTCACAAATCACTTGTATCTAAAAAAATCTTTTGCAATACTAATATCAATAGAAAATACCGGCATCCTTAGAGAAAACTGATACAATGTACAAACCTGAAATTGAATAACAAATTTGATGAAATAAAAAATATCAAATTTAAGGTCCACAACTTACTTTGATTCCACAGGAAAGGGTTCGTAAAGAAACTTCTTGTAGAAATGTTTTTTTATATCATGGACAAGAATGACTGCCACTCCCTGGTCATCAAACTGTGGGCGTCCAGCCCGTCCCATCATCTGCAGCACATCTGTCAAATACCATAATCACAGATATGGACAAAGGGAACTAACTCTTGGTATTAATGTTGTTTGCCCAGATGATCTTCTACAGAAATCTAAGAAATATTTACTAAGAATAATGTCCTTTTTAATTTTCAACTGAAAATAAAAAAAAATATACAAGAGGTCTAATAAGCTTGAGTTACCTACCATGCAACTTTTGAAATATCTATACTAATGTGTCTGTTTGGGGAGTTAATAGTAAACAACCTGCCTGATCTCCTTTTACCTACTACGGCCTTAACCAGTCCCGACCTTTCTACCACTTTTGACCATATAAGCTTAAGATACTAAATATTTGGTTTAAATTTGCAAAACAGCTTTGCAGGAGATGTTAATGTTGTTTAATATCTGTTGATGATTGACAGATGGATGGTGATTAAATGGACATGCTGTTATCAGAGAGAGACATTTTTATAAACTGCATGATAAATATATAAATATACTGATATGCCAAAAATTTATCATTTAGGACTATATTTGCAAACATAACATATGTGAAAGCCTTGTACAGTGAACAGATGATACATGAATATATTAAAACGGAAGTATGAGGTGTTTGTGAAATAAAACTAAATTCCATACCTTTTTCAAAAGAAAGTATTTGTGTTAAGTAGATGTATTACTTATATTAATGTAAACTATATTTTGTCACCACAAAACTGAAGATAACAGATAACAATATTGTGTGTCGCAATTACTTTAAATGTGTGCTAAAATTGTCTTATTGAGAAATTTGCTAACGATCCCATTAGGGTTGAAAGAGGCCCAAAGGGCTTTGTATCCATTCTTAAAAAATGGTCACCAAAATATATCAGATAAGGGTTTATTTTATGTCTCCCATTTAGAAATGTCACTCTACATTATGATGGAGAATATCTCCCATACCCAGAAGATTACAGGTTCTGTACCAGACTGATACAAACAAAACTAAGGGGCAAAAACGCAAAGCCTTTAAAAATGCTGCATTTGAGTTCTTTATGCAAATGTCTTCATAAAAACCAAAATAGTTCTATCAGACTGAAACAATGCTAAATATCTATAAATAAGGAATAAATTGCATTCATTTACATCAAATTTTAGTAATTATTAAGTAGTTGACTGGTTATGCCCAATTTTCAACTGCATATCTGTGTTGTCAGCTCTAATGATAGACAATGTTCTGCTAACATGTGACTGTATTATAGGTATGCACTTAAATGATGTTGGCCACGATTTAGGCTTTTGATGAATTCTGTAACATCATAATTCATATAGCACTACCACAAATACGACTTAGCTCCAATATGTCCCGACACCTATTTTTAGGCAGTCAAAAAGAATTGTTATACATCAATTCAAAATCTAATGAGGTATTGTATATGTGACATCAAAGTGTCAACTCAACTGACCGTATCTGATATGTAGACAGTAGGGTAGGAGGTAGACACTTCTCATATGATCCTTTTTTAATGTGATGCCTTTTGATTAAGAGTGAAATATTCTACCTTACTTAAGCACTAATAATCTTTCTTAATAGCAAATAAAACTGTATAAATAAAATGAAATTAATGAAAAGCTATATTCCAGGATCGTAAGTCTGTGTATTTAGTTTTTAATACATGTACATGCCATGTACATCTTTACATACATTTTTGTGGTTAGAATAGCTGTTACTGTTGTACAATATCCTCTCGTTATACCTGGAATAAGACTAGAAAGATTATCAAGGTAAAATTTACTGTACTTTTTAAATTTTTAAATTTCTATCTGGTAGTACAAGAATATTACAACAGTAAATGAACATACACAAGTCTGCATTTTGACAATTACATGTACATTAAATTGTTAGAAAACAAGAAAGAAGTGTTCATACATAATTTAACATTTTGAGATTAAAACTGTCAGAAAACAAGAAAGAATTGTTAATACATAATTCATAGTTTTGAGATTACTTTCCAGGTCGGGTGAACTGGCTGACTAATGTACAAGTCAATATACAAATGTATATGCATCTCAATATCTGTGGTAGATGCACATTGTGTGTGTGTGTGTGTGTGTGTGTGTGTGTGTGTGTGTGTGTGTGTGTGTGTGTGTGGTGTGTGTGTGTTGGTATAAAGCTTATTACATATGAAATTTAAGATAGATCTATCCAGTACTTCTCAAAAAGTAGCAGTAACCAGAATTGTTAACGGACAGAGGGATGGGGGCCTGGAAAAAAACACAACATATACAAGATGAGGTCATCACATCAGTACTGAATGTGTTTGTTATAGAGACAGGTTAGCTTGTTGTCGGTGCCTGCAGTACCCAGTCTCAGTCAATGAATCTCATTAATGGGACAAGATCTAACGGTAAATTCTTTTATCATTATACTGGTTTTTTTTCTTTTGGTTCCCAGTAAGAGTTCATATGGTTATCTTGTTGGTATCTCTTGACAATGTAAAAAATATGCCCCAGAAATTAAGTCCAGAGAGGTGGAGCCTCATCCAAGGATCAGTTCTTACATCATGCATATACTTATCTCTTGATGCCCATCACTGCTATATATAGTTAAGTGGTGGGGATCGCAACTGTTTAAAAGATATAATACATTTCCCCTATTGATTCCCTCCCTTCCTGCCCTAGAGGGTCAAGAACCACCATTTATCCTAAATTGATTCCCCTTCTCCCAAACATATTTCTGATCAAACAATTGGGCAAAATCCAACCATTCCTTCAAGAGGAGTAGGATTTTAAAGAATTTTGCTCAGATTCCCTTACTGGGCTCCATCCCTCCTGTCCTCAGGAAAGACCCACTGTTTATACAAAATTGATTCCTCTTCCATCCCTCCCTTCCTTCCCAGCAGGTGGGGATCCATCGTTTATATAAATTGATTGCTCTTCACCTAAAACAACTTCAGACCAAACTTGGGCAAAATCCGCTTATTCTTACAGTAGTATGATTTTAAAGAATTTGCAAAATTTCACCTTTTGGGACCAGTCCCTCCAGCCCATGGGGCCGAGAACCGATATTTATACAAACTTGGTACAACTTCTGATGAAATTTGGTCAAAATTTGTTCAGTTGTTAATGACTAGTAGTATTTTGTAGGAAAAGTTGATAGACAACACACGACAGACTAAGGATGATGGATACTGTGTACTGACTAAGGATGGTGGACACTGTGTACAGACTAAGGACGATGGACACTGTGTACAGACTAAGGATGGTGGACACTGTGTACAGACTAAGGATGATGGACACTGTGTACAGACTAAGGATGACGGACACTGTGTACAGACTAAGGACGGTGGACACTGTGTACAGACTAAGGACGATGGACACTGTGTACAGACTAAGGACGATGGACACTGTGTACAGACTAAGGACGATGGACACTGTGTACAGACTAAGGACGATGGACACTGTGTACAGACTAAGGACGATGGACACTGTGTACAGACTAAGGACGATGGACACTGTGTACAGACTAAGGACGATGGACACTGTGTACAGACTAAGGATGATGGACACTGTGTACAGACTAAGGACGGTGGACAGACTAAGGACGATGGACACTGTGTACAGACTAAGAATGATGGACACTGTGTACAGACTAAGGATGATGGACACTGTGTACAGACTAAGGACGATGGACACTGTGTACAGACTAAGGACACTGTGGTATCCCTATAGCTCACTTGACCATATACTGATACGTATAGTGATGACAACTTATAAATGACAGCTGTCATCTATTATTAAGGACGGTGTATTATGACAGCTGATAAACAGTTGGTATCTCATACTTAGGTATTTTTTCCTATCTTGATAATCATCCTTAATATTCATCACTTTGCACTATTACCATATCAGAATATCTACTGATTTACCTGTGATAGGAAAGTCAACATATCTCCTTGTTTTTCCATCAAAGAACTCTGTTCCCTTGACAACAACTAGATGGGCAGGAAAATTGACACCCCAGGCAAGTGTACTTGTGGCAATCAGAACCTACAGCAAACAATCACAACATACAACACAACACATTTTGGTATTGGCAAACATTCTTTGATAGATACATGTATGAGGGCTGATTGATAAGTTGTGAGCCTCATAGTTTAACTTGGTACGGATATATTGTATTAATTTTCAGTATAATCCCCTTCAGTATCTATACACTATTGCCAGTGATGTTTAAGGACCGCAAAGCCACTTTTAAAGAAGTCCTTTTCATGACCATTCAGAAAATCCTCCACTGCATGTATGATGTTACCATATGACTAAAAGTGGGTACTGGAAATGGCCTTTTCCAATTTTGGAAATAGACCAAAATACTGAAGGAGCGAGATCAGGCAAATAAGGTGGATGTTTTATCAATTCAAAGTGACAATTGTTCATGACAGCAATAACAGACTTGTGAACAGGGGCATGATCCTGGTGGAACAACACACTTTTACTGAATCTTCTGTGGCACTTGAGTTTGATATTTCCTCTTAACTGCCTAAGAAGTGATCCATAATATGTGCCATAGGTTGTCCGTCCCTTCTGCAGATAATCTACCATCAGAATAGCATCAGCATCCCAGAAAATCCATGCTGTAAGCTTCCAGCTGATGGAACAGTCTTTGCCTTCTTTGGCAAGGGTGAACCAGGGTGCCTCCATTGTTTAGACTATTGTTTGCCCTCTGGGGTGAAATCGTGGACCCACGTTTCATCCAGAGTCACAAACCTCTGCAGAAAATAAGCAGGATCTAGGACTAAAAGGTTCTGATTAGCATGTGACGAGGTCAGAAGTCTTGGTACCCAATGGGTCAAGAGCTTTCTAACTGCAAGATCTTCAACAAGAATGGAATGTACTCTTTCTTGTGCAATGCCAACTGTACTGGCTATATATCTCTCTGTAACTTGCCTGTCAGTCATAACAATATCATGGTTGCAACAGTGACAAGGTTTCCAGAACGGGCATCATCCACGAGGTTCTTATTGCCATGCTTATATTCTGCCACCCACTTTTTAACCATAGCATATAGAGGGGCATTATTCACTAATGTTGCTACCATATCAGTATGGATATCCTTAGGTGCTAGACCTTTCTTTTGCAAATAGTGAATCACTGCTCTTTCAGCGATTTTGGTTAATTTTGCAAAAGTCACATGCCTTGTTTACTTCAGAGTGTTACCAATTTTACATCAAGTGACCAAATGACATCAGTCTTCGGGTGCACAGCCTTTAATAGTCAAGGAATAGAAGAGTTGAAAAAGGACATCCCTACTTAGCTTTTCTAAATGCTCAATCAGCCCTCTTATATACATAACAATACATACGCTATCAATACAAAAATGCTGAAATACATTATCTCATCCCTGCATCAATGCTAGGATAGATAATGATGACATTCCTATATACATCTTTTAATTCAAAAGCATTACCGGTGACACTCAACATGTATCTGATTTTAAATTCTATAAAATCTATTTCTCAAAAAAAACCATAAAAAAACCTCGACACAGAAAAACAATAAATACACACCAATGACTAAATACATTAATATATTTATAAAGTATGTTTTACAGGTCAAGATCAAGTCTCTGATGGCTTTAAAGAAGAAACGAAAACAAATTAAATTGGTTAAAGCAGTTTTGATGCTTGTTTAACAGACTAGCTAGAGTTATCTCCCTTAGAACTAGAGACCCTCTTCATAATTGGAAGTACCAGAGTATTCAGAGTGGAATCAAAGTCCAACAAGAGGCCCATTAGCCTGCACGAATTACCTGTCACTTACAATTGCTTTTTCACCATAGAATGAAGTAAAATTTATTTGAAACCCATTTTTTTGTTTAAAGTCAATGTTATATTTTTCCAAACATTTTTGCAATGTCAGTCTTACTTGTATTTTCTGGTTTACAAAAAGTTCTTCCACCGACTTTCTGTCCCGTTCTTGGAGACCTGCATGATGGATGCCTATTCCAAATGCCAAGGTCAGTTTGAGGTTTGTGTCTCTAATTCCACCAATCAAATTCTCCATCTGTATAATGAAATAAATAAACTTGTAATGTACAAGGCAATTAGATAAATATGTCAACTTGAATTGAAATGCTGACATCTATCTGATGGAACAACAGTTCACAGGTTTATATCTTAATAGATACTCTTATAGGATACAGAGTACAACAAGTCACATAAAAACCAAAAAATTCAAAATAATTGATATCTGGAGCAAATATATATATGAAAGTCTGTAATACTGCGATTAGTGATAAACATATATAAGAGGCCTATGTGACTTAATGGTCATCTGACTATAAACACCTATATATAGATATAAGAGGCAAAATAGGCCTAAACTGCTTAACTACTGTACAGCTTACAAAGCAAACATTGTTTGTTCATAAAAACATTTTCTACAAACTTGATATCCTGTTCCTTACACATACTACTACACGAATACCATGACTTCCGAACTATGGCTTGTTGAATGACGAAAGTTTAAGATCTCAACATATCTGACCCCAAAGACCTTGAAAGTAGGTAAAAGTCAATCATTTGAATATAGTTAATAGCCCGGCCTTCATACAACTATGCTAAAGATCCAATATCAACAGCCCAGACCTTTTGGTTATAAAAAAGTTGTTTCACGATTATAACACATTTGATCCCTGTGACCTTTAAAAAGGATCAAGGCCAGTCTTATAAACAAACTTGGTAGTCTTTCATTCCAGCATGATACAGGCCCTATGGCAGCACCATTGGCATTTGTTTATCAAAAAGAATGTGTTTAAAGATTTCAAAACCTTTCACCCCTGTGACATTGAAAGAACGTCAAGGTCATGAATTTTAACAAGCTGTGTAGCCCTTCATACCAGCATACTACATGCCAAATATAAGATCCAACGAACTTTCAGTTATCGAAAAGAAGTGTTTTGAATTGAAAGTTTACACATGGCACACAGCAATGGATAAAACACGATGGCTTATGAACAATCCCATCTCATTTTAGAGACAGCTTTCAGTTTTTGGGGGATTTTTTTTACATGAACATTAAGGCATCAATTATTAGACTTAAACTTATATCATTCCTAGTTTCTTCTGAAACAGCCATCATACAGAGCAGCTTAAGGTACATAAATTTGTTTACTGTATCAAATACACTTTCTGAAACTTTGATAATCTGCAATATTCCCTTGGAAAGCACAGCTCATATAAACAGCAGCAAATCAAATTCAAGGTCTTTTCAAGGTTTTTACACAGCCACTAAAGTTATATAACTCTCCTGATGTGTTTTTATAGCCAACCATTGTTGTGAAGGAAGGTTAATAGTCAACATACAGCAAATGTGACTTCCATAACATGTTGTCACCAGAAACTTTTAACATGTTTTTTCCCCATTAGTCTAGCTAGCTTTTAGTGATCATTCTTCAATTTTTCCAGATAGATTATTCGTTAGATTTATTATTCTTGTGTCCAGGGGAAAAAAGAAAAAACAATTTAAGAAACTCAGGCAGTAAATTTTCTGATTCACCAAACTGAATTGTTTTTAACAGATATTGTTTGAAGACAAGACGTTTGTAATTTCATTTGTTTTTCCCATAAGAACAGTGATTTTCCTTAGCTTTTGTTTGTTTATTCTTTGAAATATCTAAACTGCTGTCACAAATTATAATCATATCATAAATCATATCCTATATATAGCGAGTATCGCTGAAACTTCAATAAAATGGGTTCTGAAAGATCGCAACTCGACAAAAATAGTCAACAGAGTATGAACTATTCACCTTTGAAATGCCATGATTGGTTTGCTGTTACATCAGGGGTTATTCTTATTGACCAATCAAATACCATAGGGAAAACCCGGTCAGAACATTTTATGACCTTACCAGTGCTCGTGGTAACTTAAGCAATAAATGATTTTCCAACCTCTTTCCATAAGATATGGTACTTACCCTGAATTTATGGTCTGATAAAATTATTACAATATCACCAAAAACATAAGCCACACTCGTGAAGCTTTTCGGGCCACGTGTGATAATTTTCTGTGTTCAATTAGGCCTAATCCAGAGTTTGTTTCACAAAGCTTAAAGTTCAAATTGATAATTTTACCATCTCTAGCTTTCTATTGGAAATGTTTTCTCGTAAATTTAAAGATGGTGACATTCATAATGATGACATTGACATGCCACTGTTTGGGTTTAGTGTCCCATGGATCACAAAAACAAACATGTTTCATAGTAAATTACAGTTCATGGTTGATTATTTTCTGAAATGTCTGTTGCAAAACAATCTGTTTTGTTTCCAAATTAGTCTCGATATGCATTCTACAGACTATTGTTCAAGAAGTTTCACCAGCACATTGGAAAATTTAGTGGAAATTTCCAACTCCAACATTGATTCCATCATGACAAGTTCCAAGAGACAAAGAGATTAAACCACATTTTAACACTTGGGATGCACTAGGCAATTAAAAAAACAAATGCACTAGACTTCCTTTGGCCTAATCTGGACCTTACAGGTAAGTTGGTCAATCAGTCAGTGATGTTGCTTACATAACGGGTCTAGGTGTGACTTTTTGGATGATTGTCATCAAAATGAAGTGATATCAAGAGAGGCTTACATAAAAATAAGTGATATTATCAGATGTTGGATTACATAGAATATATAGAGGAAAAATTGGTGTTTCAAGAAAAATTATATTAACTGGAAATTGACATTAACAGACATAACATTAAGTGGGTTCCACTGTAATAATGTCACTTCACTATGTTGAAGTTTAACTCTTTTCAAGATACAGGAGAGACTTTAAAGCCATTTTGCATTTGCATGAGCCTTGTGTTATATACAACTAAAAACCTGAGGTTGATACATGTGAAGAATATACTTTTATCTATAAGGAATGGCTCCCATCACTTTACTCATTGATATAACACCAACACATGTCAAATGATCAAATCTAGTAATATGTAAAACTTGAGCAAATCAGGAACTACAAAAACACTTCCAATAATTACTCTCAAAGCTTCATATGTATCTAGGAAAACTTTCACCTCAAGTTTCGATCATTTCGCCAGGACAAAATATAAGATGGAAAAATGTTAAGTATTACAGTTGAAATGTCTGTATATACAGAGCAAATTTAACAATATTTGATAATTTATACTTTAACTGTCTGAAGGGGAAAAAAGAAAATTTTCCTTATACCATTATTTTCAATAGCATCAGCAATTCACATTTTCAGAATTCCAAATGGAAGTCAGTAGTCAGTAAATATCTGCCATTCTTTCATCATTATTCACGATCTCCTGATCTCCATCAATTTTAATCTTAGCATTTTCTCCCGGAGGCTGTTAGCAAGATAAAATGAGTTGCAGACAGTTCTCTGACTTTGACCTCTAATTTCTCTAGTTCCTGTGTGTTATTTCAGCAATGACCTCAAATTTCAAGAGAATTCTGTGGAGACAAGTGTACAACTCTGTCTTAAAAAAGAAAGAAACGGCAGTTTCAATTAAATGATTGATACAAAAGAACACTTGGTCCTTAACGAGCAAAGACCACCTTCCTTCCCATTTCCTTTCCATTTATAAAGATTTATTAGGAGATAAAAGGATTTTTTCTAACCAATTTAATGGTTTAATTATCCTACATCTGCCTTGTGGAACAGCATTGTTAAAGATCAATAACCAGCAAACATTTCAACATTTTCATTTAACAGAGATACCATGTCATGTCTTTGACCAAGAAATTTGTCTGAGTAAAATAAATACAAATTGTATGCTGTACATTGTCATATATAAGAAATGCTTGATCACCTCCTTGGAGAATGATTTAAATAGGAAGAAAACAGCCATTTTAAAGAATAAAGGAATTGTTTTCTATAATCTGATAGTATTTTTAATCAGTGGACTGAAAGTATTTTTGTAAACCTCTGACAAATTGATTAAAGATATTGTGTATAAAAGACACACAATCGAACAGGACCATTTAATACAAATTTGGAGTTAGATGCAGTAGAGCCAAACAAATTAAACTGCATCCTACAGCTGTTTTGTCCTTCTGGGACTTGTCAGTGATGCTAAGTGCCTAAATCTTAAAGCTTCTGAGTCGACTAAGGAAAATCTTAAGTAATCGAAAGAAATGTCAAAATCTAAACTGGAAGGGGAGGTGCACATGCCCATTAATTCAATAAATTAGATAATTTTCATATCAGATGATTTTAGAACAACATTAAGCCTATGTGTATGCTTTGAACTGTGCCACATTTCAAATGAATTAAAACGTGGCATGCAGGTTACAGCAAACCTTAAATATGTTACATTTATAAAGATTCAATTCTTTTTAGCTGTTTTATCAAAGGCTTGAAGTAAAAAGGATTTATGTACATAGGAGTCATGACAAGGATTATTGATTTTTCTGTTGATTTCTGTTTACCATGTATAGACTTTTTATATTTTTATTGCATCCGTCAAATATAATAAAAACAAGAGGCCAAAGGAACCTGCATTGCTCACCTGACTAATTCAACTGTTCAGCAATTCAATAAAGAGTTCCAAGTATGGCAAACTTATGGACAAACAGAGGTCAGATTCACTATCCATGAAAATTGCTCCTGAGCAAACTTCGACAATAACCTGATATGAATTTTCAGAATTTACTTTTACCCAGTTGGGACAACTGCGCCCCCCAACCATTCTTACTGAAAGAAGGCCTCGTCTTCGCTTACAAGGTGGTGAAGACTTCCTGTTTATTCAAAACTGATTCCTCTTCTGCAACCAAAAATGCTTCACATCAAATTTGGACAATAACCATTTATTCCTATAACAGGAGTAGGATTTTAAAGCACTTTCCCTTTGCAGCCCCAACCCTAAGGCCCCTGGTGGCTGAAAACCAATCTTTACCCAAACTTTGTTCCCCTTCACTCAACTTGGGCAATTTCAAATCATTCCTAACCGAGAAATAGGGTTTTTAAGGATTTTGCCAATTTTCCCAATTGGGCCCCAAACCTCCCACCCCAGAGGGACTGGAATCCACTGTTTA